TATGCTCTTCCTCTAGTGATCCTGTTGCACAGAGGGTCGTTACGTCGTCTTGGACGAGAACATATTCACTTAGTTCCTCGTCTGTCATGTCTAGTCGTTATTCCGTGGTGGCGATATCTCTAATATCGCTCGTTCGTTTGTTAGGCCTGCCTCCTGGCCGAAAACTCCCCTTAAGTTTTCCTTCTTAGGGGTCCTCATAAGTACCTGCTTCCCCCGAGCTAGGTCTCTTCAGCGTTACTCGCTCAATTCTTCCGGTCCATACCTCACTAGTCTATCGACACGAGCAGCTATCGAAGACGATGCTTTCTGTCCGCCAATTAATGGTTAGATTATGCTTCCTCAACCATGGTACTCCAAGTACCACGTCATATTCTCTGAGTGGTGTTATGTCGAAGTTAATGACTTCAAAATAGTCACCGATAACCACTAGCAGCATGCTACTTTCGTGCGTGATCCCTAGCCCCAGGCTCTCTCCGTTGAGCCTAATAATAGGTGTAGGTCGCGGCTTCTCCACGCCTTGGATCTTGTGTTGTTGCTTATATCGTGTGCTCATGAAGTTTCCTACCGCACCCGAGTCGATCATCACTCTAGTTAGTCGAAACGCGATATTAGCAGTGATCTTCAAATATAAGCCCCACGCCGTGGCTACAAGGTATTATTCGTTGTTTATCCTCCGGTCTCCGTGCCAGAGTCCCGCGTATTCTGGGCTCCAATTAGGTTTCTTTTCCCATCGTAGCGGCTTAGGTTCCAGGCTTCTGTCGATCTTTCCTTAATAATGTGTCATACAGTTATTATCGTAACATCCGGTCGTAGATCTTAGTCGGTGATCCGGGTATCGAGCGTATCCTTAGCACGAACACTAAGTCTGCTAACATAGGCAAAACCCATCCTTAATTTCAGGTTTCAGTTTGTGTAGTTCGTATAGTTAGTCGGTGAGTTCGAGTGTTCGGTCGATCTTGTTGCCGATGTCTCCCTCATGATTCCTGAATAAGCCGTGGAGTTCATTCTGTATACGGTTGATGTCTGCAATTACTTCCGCCTTCTGGGGTTTCTTCTAAGGCTATATAGTAGTATCCGTTTCTGGGAGCTAGGGTAGAGTTTCTGGGATCTCCGGGGTTCCTGGTGTCTCGATTAGTGTCTTCAGGATCCCTACGCCCCACTCCTGGGAATCGTCGGATAGTTCCTAGGAGTCGGTGGTGTTCTAGGGACCGTACTAGGTCCACCCTTAACTCTCAATATTTTCCTAATCAATCTCGGGAAATTCCGTCGCGTACTCTACGCTGTTTAGGCCGCGGTATTCGTCGTTACTTTCGAAGGTATCCGTGGTTTTTCCCTTCGATCGTTGCCGTAGCTTATCGATTTGCTCTGGACTCAAAGTTATCCACTTAGCTAATAGTTCGTCGACTTCGTCTTAGATTAGTTGTTTGACCTTAGGTTCTTTCCTAACCAGTGGCTTCTCGGTAGCCCACTTGGTGACCTGGTCCTTTAGGTGCTCATACTCATCTAGAGTAGCCTTAGTAATGGCTTCCTTTAGGCGCTCTGTCCCGTCGTAGGTGGCCCTGAGTTATTAGGGTCGTATCTCGTCTTAAGTTGCCCGTAGCTATTATGGCTTTGCGTGGTTGCGCCCGTTACGCTCACGCGCCCATAGTTTTGCGTTGTTGCGCCGATTGTGGCACTCACGCGCCCGATGTCCTGCTTTTCCGCATTCAAAGCATAAGTTATTATCTTTTCGTCGTTTTTCTTCTTTAGCTAGGAGTCTCGCTGCGTCAAGCTCCATTAGTCGTGGTCCATAGGGATCGCTATCCCTACTAGGTCTGTTTGGTCGTTTATCGTAACGATGGTGTAATGGCCGGCTAGTGCCTCGGCGCCATCCTTCAATTTCTCTTTTCTCCATTTGTCGGTCATATAGACGGTTGTCAATCCGTACCGCTGTGTCGATGAGTTTTTCCATAGTGTCGGGTCGGTCGATCCGTGTAAGTTCATCTTTGATGTGTGGCTTGAGTCCGTGGTCGTAGTACGGAATCAAAGCGTAGTCTTCCCATTGTAGTATCGCTGCAAGTTGCATGAATTCGGCCGTGTAGGTCGATACTGACCCGGTTTGTCGAATGCGTTTCAGCTTCCGTTTAGCTGTTTTCTTGGCGTCAATATCACCGAAAGTTCGTTCCAGGTGTTGTCTGAACGTGGTGTAGCTACTGAAGATAGCTTAAGTGGTAGTAGACTATTCGGTGTTGACCTTTTCGTAGTATTCTCTGATGTAGGGTTTAAGCTAGTCCTATGCCTGCCCTCTGAGGTAGGCTGACACGAAGATGACTTTACTTCCTTCGGTAATGAGGCGTCCCTTGTTGACGTCGATATGGATGTCTATCTGAGTAAGGAACCCTCGTAGCTTGCTTCGGGTACCGTTAAAGGTCTTAGCCTTTAGAAGCTTCGGTGCCCTAATAGCAGTTACTGGTGTAGAAGCGACGACCTGGGCATGGAGTTACTCCATGTGGTCCTTCACGCTTGCTGTATGTTCGTTGTAGTTGCCTCCTAGGGTGTTTAGGTTGCTCTTAAGTCTCTTGATGGTTTCCTGAAGTGCCTGGATTTTCCTTTCCTGCTCGTCTTCCCAGTCGTCCTCTCGTGCCGCTAGAGGGCGAGGAGTCTTTCCTCGTGGGATGCTGTCGTTGCCTGCCATAATGACTTTGCTTCACGGTTTAAAGACAGGGCGATCAATGTGTTACGCGTAGCCGATTGGTTACTATGAAGTTAGGTTGCTCGACGGGTTATACTTGCCTGAATCCTGACTTCGGATTCCAAGAGTATCTCTCAATCGTACCGTTGCCTCGCGAGGCCTTACTGCGGGATGGATCCTGTTGAGTATCTTATAGAACGTGCTAGAAGTGCGCGCTAAGTAAGTCAATCACTAAGTGTTACCACGGAGTGAATCCCCTACTTGTAGGTTGGGTTGTCTTGAAGGTGAACTGTGAAGTGCAAAGTACTAAAGGTAGTAACCAAGTAATAATGTATGAAAGGTGCTATCCTAGTAACTTGAATGATTGATCGCGAAGAACTAAATATATGATGCTGAAATGAGTGTCCTTATATATCTGGTCCTTCCGATCCTAAGCTATGATGGATCATAGCGAGGGCTATAATCGGGTCAGAGCTGTAGGTCTGATCCGAGCGTGTAGCGTTATCCGCTCGTTATATCCTGGGGTATGATGGGTCACGTGAGTGTTGGCTGTCGTGGTAACGTAACGATTATACCTTGTAACGTTATCCAATCCTAGCTCTTGCTGACTGATCCAAGTTGATTGGGTATCAACGTCCCTTGTCCCCGCATTAGCGCTATTGCGTGAGAGTTCCGTAACATATGACCCCATAACATCTATATATTAACAGAAACTACCTAGCGTTACTAGGTAAAGGAAGGGTAAAGGGTAACTCTAGATCCGCTCTAGGGGCAGAGGGAAATCGATTATTATCCGCTCCTCTAACTTATCTCCGCCGATAGAGGTATTATTATCCGCGTCCGAATTAAGGTTATCCTAAGCCTCGCGAACCGCCTCCCGAATACTATCGAAAAAGGCCCGTTTTCCGAGTATCTAAGTGATATATCTCTCGTCGCTAGGAACTAGGCGAAGGAGTTACTTAGAGAAGCGCTCTACCTTCTCCCTAGTAGTATTAAAGGGACTAGGGGGCGGGATATCAGGAAGCCGAGTCCGATAGACCGCGAGAAGCGTATCGTATTCGTCTTAGGTTTATTATCGAAATACTAGTTAGAACGCGCCGAAACCTATAACCTATAGATTCTACCTTAATATTAGTCTTAGTCCCGGTTAACTTATACTACTTACGGTAAGCCTACTCCGAAACGTCGAAGTAATACGCTAGATCCTTTATCAATTCGGCGACCTTTCGGCGGACCTCCGAGGGATAAGACTAGTCTAGGAAATTGTCGGACTCTAGGCGGTGACCATAAAGTCGTGGTTATACACACAAGACGATAGTATGCATAAAGATTGGTAAATACTCAATAGTGTCTGAATACACGGTTATGAGTCTATCGGTCGTGCGCACTTCTATGAAGGAGAAGTACCACGATTGTGGAAGAGTACCACTGATCTAGAAGAGAGATCACAAAGGGTGATAAACTTGATTCAATTTAACTAGGAAACATAGCAGTATTTATATCACAAGAAACATAGCAAAGGATCACATGATAAATCAACAGAATCAGAGTGTTGAGAGTCTCTTGCTTAGGTAGGCAATCATATGCGAGATCGTTGAGGATCAATCTATTAGATCTTTATAGAAGAAGATCTATATATAGAGAGGGGTTATATGAGTGGGTCCTTCGTCATATAACCCCACAACATCCACATGTTGACACGCCCCCTCAGTTCTCGATGTGAGAGCGGAATGAGAGCAAAGTGAGAACTGAATGAGAGAAAGGAGAAACAGAATAACTAGATAGGAGGTGGTATCTCTATACCTAGTTGTCTGATGAATTCAGTATGCTTCTGCCTAGGTAGGCACTTGGTGAGACTAGACATTGACATCTCCCACGGGACTCCCACCGTGGGACCTGGGACTTCCCGCCGTGGACGGGAGTTGGGACTAACCTTTAGTCCTATAGGCGGGACTAGAATGGTCGTGGGACTCCCATGGGAGTACGGGACTTTCCCACGGGACTATAAACAGTGCAAACAGTTAAAAACCTGCGAGTGGCATAAATTGTGCGCTTTTCCTAGTATTTTTAAGTAATATGCTTACTATATTACTCTAGATAGCTCTATAGATTCTCGATAGAGACTTAATAAAAGATGGGAAATGTAGATTTATTCGTATATTACATCGTAGTCATCTAGGTTTCTTAGACGTTTCCTTGCTCTTCCAGACGTCCTCATTTGACTGTAGCTCTCCTTATCCTGCGGTAAAGGGGGTAGTTAAGGTTTAGTCTCATTATCTTCGTAAGAATCCACGCTCTTTCGTCTCTTTCCTAGAGCTCGCTAGCTAGGTTAGGACGTAGCAGATAGTATATAGGCGTCTAAAGGAACGGAGTTCATATCTTCACCCTCGTCTTCACCTTTATCTCTGTCTTCGTCTTCATCGTCATCCTCTTCATTATCGCTAATTAGAACTAGGGTAAATTGACCTAGTTTTGCCTCTCTTCGTAGCGCTACTTACTGTCTCTCCTCGGCGGTAGATTCTTCCTCCTCATCGGATTCACCTATAATATCTGTTATATCAAGATCAAACTCGGAAATATAGCGATACATCATAAGGTCTTATATAGCGGTCTCATTAAGACGACCCCGTCGATAGTGGCACACGTCACGAGCAGAGTTAAAGAGACGCTCAACTCCAGCACCGCTAGCAGGGATAGTAAATATATCGCGTACTATGCTTACAAGGGTAGGATATTGATGCTCATGCTCCCGCCAGAAGTCACAAGGATTCTTATTCAGTGTTCCTATTAAAGAAAGGTTAGAATGAAAAATCAGCGGATATTCGAATAGTAGAAATATACCACTATTAAGATAATGTGTAAGCTCATCGTTAAATATAGGGCCAGTTTATTTCTCTTAGGACTAGGAGGGCTCGGAAGGGTTATCATTATCTAAGAGCAACTCAATATTATCCTTCTGCTAAGTAGAAAGTCGGCTAAACTATAACTATCGTGTCTCCTTTTAGCGCTATTAGTAGGGCTCGAGGTATTTTTCTATATAGCCTCGGTAAGTCTTGCGCTATTAGTAGTTATTATCGGACTATTCACGCTTCGAAAAGAATTACAACTTATACCGCGGTGTAAGGATAGTGCCGATTATATACAGATTACCATAAGCGTCGGTCTAGCTATAATAGTCAGAGAGCTTTTGACGGCCTACTTCAAGCGCCCTACGCATTATTTCCTTCCAAGGAACCCGTTTTCGCTTCAGTTAGCTAATAGAGAAGTCAAAATGGTCGAATAGCTTATTATATATTCGAAAGATCTAATAGATTATAACGTCTTTAATCTTAGAGATAGCCGTGGTCCACTAGTGAAAGGGTTGGGTGATACAAAGAAGGTAGTCAACCTAGCGCCACTCTTCTGAGTTTAGTTTAAACTAAGGATAGTTATACTCATTACAGTACTCATCATACGCCTTTAAGAGCCGCTTAGCGCGCTAAAGCATAAGGAATATTGAATTCCACCGCGTTTTAACATCCTAAATAGGAAGAAGCTTTAGTTCTTTACTTTAAAGGTTTAAGAATGCTTCTCGGCGCTAAGGACTAGCGTTAACACCTATAGCTAGACCACAGACCTAATATTAATTAGTAGATAGACCTCTGAAAAATAAGATAAAATAATAGGTATAAGGTAAGACTTACTTTTGCAAGAGTATAGATAATACCTCGCTTTCGAAGATGTTTCAGGGACGTATCCTATTCAACTAACCACTACCGGTCTATACTCTCGTTTTTTAGGTCGAGCTTCATCATCGCGAGGAGATCCTTCAGACTAAGTTAGATAACATACGCTAAGCAAGGAATTCGGACAATTAGAATATAGTTTAGAAGGTCTAGGGCTTACATTAACGTCTACATATTACCAACCAGAGTATCGTTATTCGATGCGTTATCAGTCGTAATAGTAAGCACCCGATCTATAATACGATACTCCTATAGGCATTCAAATAGAACCTGGCCTAGATTAACGCCGGAGTGCTTTCCATGTAAGGGTTCAAAGCTAAGAAGGATCTCCCGGTACTTCCAGTTTTAGTCGAGGAAGTAACCAGTAATTACCATAAAGGCCTATTAAAAGGGAGATATCTAACAATCAAGAGCGATAGAAAGCTTCGCGTTTAGTAGGAGGTCTAATAGGATACGATGCTAATCCTCTTGCACGATCTTTCGAAGACGACGCCGAGCAGTTCGAGGGGTAAGGAGTATAGGGTTTGACGTGGCTAGCCGAGCCATTAATATAAGGTCGGCAAGGTCTTTATACGCAAGGATTTGAAAAGGAAGGTTTGATTTAGTGATAAATCTAACCTGACATCGTTTCCATTACTCCTCACTGAAAGACGGCTTCGAACGTGGTGTGTTTTCGGCCTAGATTAGAAGAGCAGATTATTAGTTTACTAGAGTTAAACAGTAGAAGGTTTATATATACCATATATTCGATTGATTACTAAAGAGTCTTCTGCCTTACTATATTATTTACAGCTTTAATGCATATTCTAGCCATAAAGTGGCGATTCATAGAATTAGTTCCATTCGCAGTTCGCCCTAGGTGTGGAATAGTTTTTCCACATCTTCGGCACATAACCATTACCTCGCCAGTGATATAGTTAGCCACTTGGTCGAAATGCTACCAGATCTCAGCGGAGTGCTTTACATCCCATCGCATCTTCTTTTGACGTGATCCTGTCGTTATCGCGGCCTCAGTTTATAACCACCAGATCACAAAGTCGTTTTTATTCATTTCGGTATATTTAACCCAGGGCTTCTTCCGATCAGAACCAAACCGCTTAAGGGTAGGAGGAAGAGTAAGAGGAGGTGTAAACTCAGAGCATAGCGTAGGATATTAAGTTCGTTAATAAGATAAACTCCCTGCTATGAAGGAGCTATCATCTAATTCGATATCGGTAAGGGGGTCTATAGGATCACTCTGATAGAGAGAGGAGGGCTCAGCGTCAGAAAATTAGCTAAATTGAGACATAGTTAAAGAGGAAAAGAGTATATAGCTAGGGGAGTCGAAAGAGTAGGGACTTTACCTTAGGCGAATTAGTAGTTACGACCGGAGGAATTTAATAATAACTAGGTGAATTCAGCTAAAAGATACAATTAATCTATCATAATTAATAAGGAGACCTATAGTAGGCACTCTTCCGATTAGTCAGTCCCGTGGGGATCTCCCATACTCCCATAGGATTTCCCATAGGACCTTATAGTCCCATCGATTTTCGGTCAGACCACGCCCCCCCGACTTTCAGATTAGATTAGAAGATATTTCACCTGTACTTCAAAGTGCCATTTCTGACCATTTCCTTATGATTATTATAAACCGCACTATATCCCTTCACAATTTCACCCTCTTATATTACAAACCTACTAGTTTTGAATATAAGATAGGGATTAGATAGCGTATACTACTGTAAACACTTCTAATTAGCTAGCTTTTTCTAAAATAGGGTAGTATTAGTATTAAACAAAGAGATCTCGTTAGGGATAATAGTGCGGTACTAACATAGAATATATATTTCCTGCTCTATATACTACATCTACCGCTATATCTTATAAACTAACCATCCAGTGACTGAATTATTTTAAAAAAAGATAGGAATCTTTAATTTCTAATATCTAATTAGCTATATACAATAATATTTCATAAAGTTTCCTAAGGAATATAGCTAAGTCAAGGGAGATGTTAAGTAGTATACCAAAACACTGTTTAATAACAGTACAAAGTTCGGATGAATCATCATTTTATCCATCCTATTCGGGAAAATTATGCAGAAATATAAGCTTAGCGGGACTCGTGGGAGTCCCACGGGACTCCCATAGGCGTATTAAGAGACTTAGTCCCGTGGGATTGATGGGACTAAGGTCAGGGTCCCGTGGGAGTGGGACTAAATTTTTACTAGTCCCGTGGGAGATGTCCATGTCTAGGTGAGACCGTCTGCGGGCATATCGGTGGTTTTGACCCATTGGACAGATAGGCGCTTTGCCTGTACCTCTTGACGAATCCATAGGCGGTTGATATCCACGTGACGAAGTTTGGTCTGAAAGACTGATTTCTCGCGATTTAATAGGTCGACGGTCTGCTTGTTGTCGCAATTCAACACTTCTGGTTGGTTAGTGTCGAATTCAATGAATGAGAAGAGACGTTTGATCCAGTATAGCTATTTAGCTGCATGTGATACAGCTAGTAATTCAGCTTCTGTGGTTGATGTGGTAATCGTCTTCTGCTTGCGAGATTTCCACTCGATTGGACCACCAAACAATGAGAAGATGAAACCTTCTGATGACTTCCTATCAAGATTGTCGGCAAAGCTTGCATCGGACGAAGCAGTAAAGATCTGGCTATCTGATTGGCTGCCACCAAAGCAGATAGCTAGATCTTTAGTCCCATATAGGTATGAAATCAGATGGTCGACAGCAGCTAGGTGCTTCTCATCACAGCGTGTGAGAGATTTAGCTAGTAGCTGATTGGCGAAAGCGGTGTCTGGTCTAGTCCACACAGCAGGGAAAAGGGTCGAACCACACTTCTGCTGGTATAGTTTAACGGTTGATTGGTTGATTTGACCAGTGATCGGATCAAGACGTTGATTGCTGACTAGTGGTGTATTAGGCGGTTTCCTGCCTAGGAGGTTAAATTTAGCAGCGATCTTTTCAATGTAGGCTGATTGGTTTAGCCAGGTCTTTCGTCGCTGTCGGTCGCGTATAATTCGAATACCGATGAATTGGGTAAGTTCACCACAGTCCTTCATCTCAAAGCGCTGTGAGAGAAGTTGCTTTATCTGGTAAGCGTGCAATCTCTCACTTCGGTGGTAGGCAGCCAGGAAATCGTCAACAAACACCATAATAACCATGCGATTATCAGTATAAAGCGCAGGGTCTTCAGGACAGCTTTTAAAGCCTAGTGAGAGAAGCATTTCTTTCACGTCGTCTTCCCATCTCTTACCAGCGATTCGAAGACCATATACTGCCTTATGTAGGCGTAGGACCATTGACTTTCGTCCTAGTCCTAGTGGGTATCGGCAGTACACTTCCTCTTTGAGATCACTGTTTAGGAAAGCGTTAACGGCATCCATCTGAAAGGTCTCTAGGTCAAAATGCGTAATGATTGCTATAAGCGTGCGAAAGGTCCTAGCAGCAAGCGTACTAGTACGTGGGTCTTCTAGTTCGTCTGGTGTCTGTGTATCTCCGCGTACGCATAGACGCGCTTTAAAGCGTGTGAGGTATCCTGATTCGTCAGATTTATAGGCAAAGACCCATCTCATTGGTATGAGCTGGTGGCGTGGGCAATCCGATTGGTTTAGACCTTTGCAATTCGATTGGTGTGTAAAGCTGATGAGGTCTTTGTTGATAGGTTCGAATACATGCATGTCCAGAAGCTTATTGAATTCGATTCGCATAGCTTGTCGGAATTGGCTTTCGAAAGGATGACTAGCTAATTGGTGGTAGCTAGGTGGTGGCGGAGGAATTGATAAGATCGCAATCTTTGGTTGTTGATGTTGATTGGATGAGAAAGCTTGGATATAGGTTGTGAGGGATACGTGAGGGCGTTTTCTCTCACTTTCGTTATCGGTGTCAGAGTCAGAACGTGGGCGTTTAGTTGGTATATGAAGAGGTTCATATCCAGAAGGGTCGAAGTTTGTGTTATCAATTAAGACGAAAGGGACTATATCCTCTGGTTCTGATTCGCTGGATCCTATCGATTCGTCTGATTTTGGGTCGAGCGGTGGTGTGATTAGTTGATCTCCGAGGATTTCGTCTGTTAGGATCTCGTCTGTTGGTATAGGTGTGGTATGATCGATGTTGATAGTAGGACTACTACTACTTCCACCCCCGAGATCTTGCTGCACCGGTTGGTTGAATGGGATATCTATATCTTCGAGGATTTGATTGATCTCTTCGTCGTCAAGAGTATCAATCTGCTGAGATAGATTGGTCTCCTCATAGATTTGGATGCGTTGATTGGGTAGCGAAGGATTGTAGGATTCTTCCTCGTTGAATTGGACGTCTCGTGCACGAATTACACGTCGTTTAGTAGGTATCCAGATACGCCAGATGTTATAGGCTTCATAACCTACTAGATAGCCAATAGCAGCACGTGGTGCTAGCTTAGCTAATCTAGGTAGCTTAGTAATACGTACATAAGCTTTGCATCCAAAGATTCGAATGTGTGAGAGATCTGGCTTTGCCTGTAGCCAATATAGTGCGTTTTCACCGAGGTAGGTAGCAAGCGCTTCGTGTGGGGATTGCCAATCTAGTGTGCTGTGAGGTAGGCAGTTTTGAATATAGACGGCAGTTCTAGCTGCTTCATGCCAAAGATAGCTTAGTAGGCCTGAATCGATAGTCATCTGCCTAGCCATCTTTGAAATCAATGCACCATATCGCTCAGCGTAGCCGTTTTGGTCAGGTTAGTAGGGCGGTGTGATTTCTAGGTAGATACCACGTGATTATGCTTCTTGGTCGAAGAATTCAGATAGAGATCTTTCGTCATCTGAATGGATAGTAAGCACGCGTAGGTTGAATTGGTTGTTGATGAAATCGATCTGGTCGCAGAGAGATTGTGTTGAATCTGTCTTAGTAGATAGATCTTCCGCCAGTTGGTATTTAGTGATAGGATCAACAGAGTGAGATAGGTAGGTTGTTTTGCCTAAGGATGGTTCGAAGTGTATAAGATCCCAATACAGAGATTCAAAAGGGCGATTGTACTGCATAGGTCGTCGAGAGATTTGACGATGCGAATTAGCCAGTTTGCATGTCTCGCAGTGGTTGATAGGCGAAGATATATCTTTAATAGTAATGCCTGATGAGTGCTCTGGTAGATGCGATAAGACGTCCTTGCCGACGTGTCCTAGTCGTCTGTGCCATAGGTCAATTGTCCCGTCTAGCTGCTTCTTGGTGTGTGAAGAAGATAGGGCAATCTTGCTAAGTTGCTCAGTAAGAGGTAGGTGAGAGGTAGGTGAAACTTGAGTATGGTTGGCAGTGGTTGATCGGTTAGTGGTTGAATCGTCCCATCGAATTAGGTAGATGCCTGATTTCGCGTTGAGCTTGCAGATAGGCGTTCCGTCCTTCTCTTCTAGTAGGCAATCCTTGCCATTCAGATAGATACCTGCGCTAGCAGCTCTTTCTGCAGAGATCAGGTTGATGTGGAATCCAGGACAATAGGCAACTTGTTTCAAAGGGAAAGTGGTTCCATCAAGAGATTCTGATGGTTTGACAGACAGTTCGCCATAACCAAGGAT